CTAAACATTACCGTTCGGAGTTAGGACTGTAAATTCAAAATTTTTATGGCAAAAACAAACGATGGCAAAATTCAAACAATTTTCACGAGCAAAACATTATCGTTAGGTCCTAATGAATACGTGTACCAAGTTTCATTGAGTTAACCTAGGAGAGGTTAAAAAGACAGATCTGGGTGAAAAAAACATCGCTGGGAGTCATGTGCTGCACGTGTTGTGTACAAATCGTCAAACAAACGTTTGGACTTTTGACATTGACTTCGGACTATCGTCCCCCACTACCGCCCTCTTCTTCCTCACCGCCCCCCAAAATCTTTCCACCGCCCCTAGGGGGGCGATATCGCCCACTTTGGGAATCACTGATGTAAACAAATATTAGTGTTGAATGACAGATTTTGCTCATTCTATTTATACTATTAGTGCGCTGATATGGTTATTAAAGATTCTATGGTCAATGGTTATGGTTAATGAAAGGAGTCAGAAATAATTTCATCGTTGTAATTATTTATTATTTTTGTGTGCCTGTATTTTTGTTTTAAATGGGTTTGCACCGCACAAACCCCCAGTTTTGAGTGCGAAATCTTTTGTAAATAAAATATGTCTGGACATGACTGTCATCAGAAATTCCCAACATCGTCTCTACATATTTTTTACGCAATGTGTGAGTCTCTTGAATCTATTCATATTTTATTAATGTTTGTTGTTAGTCTATATAATTTACCTTCAAAGTTGCAAAAAATGAGAACTGATAATTTAAAATAAAGTGCAGTGCCTGTATTTTTGTTTTCAATGGGTTTGCACCGCACAAACCCATTTCTCCAGCCGGGAGGATGTCGGGAATGTAACGTATTCCTGACATTGACATTATGGTTTGTATTATTTGCCAGTCCTTCATTGACATTATGGTTTGTATTATGTATAAGTCAGTCCTTCATTAGAAGGAACAAATCTCAAGCCATGTGGATTGGCGCCTTCTACTATTCAGTTTTGTAATTAATTTCCAACCGAATTGTGATGTATGAATAATGAATAATTATTCATAACATTGCCGACTCTTAGAACCTGAGCTAACATGTTAGAAATCTAGTCAACGTGATGCAGATATTTGTTTGTGTGTGATAGCATTGCCGCACATTCATCTTTAATTAAACAACTTCAGGAGCACGGTGCAGGCTGGTGCACGGTGCACTTTTTTACCGGCATATTACGGTGCATGGCGCACATTGATGCAATGATAATAAAAATTCCCGCATGCCTGGCACATCTTCCTGACCGTGGAACTGATCATGTGATAATATAGCCTATTGTTTACATTTTTGTTGAAGGATGAACACAGTTATAATGCAGTCTGAACTGAAGTGATGTGACAAAAAGTCAACAACTATGCAATCACCAACAGAACATTCTGGGTTCCCTCATTATGCACTATGCTGTCTATGCAGGAATCAGGATAATTTGTTAGGACCAGCCCGACACAAGACCAGCGTACCAGGGAGTCCAGGGACTTACCTGAGGTATGTACTGAACTGCCAAAGCTGAAAATTTTTTGAAATGACAATTTTATGAATGGCAATTTCTTCAATCAAACAAAAATACATTACATTAGATTTAGAGATTCCATAGATGATAGGGTAAACACACCATATTCTGACACCTTAAGGACATAGCAAGAAATAAATGGCTATAAATAGATCACCGTATGTGCAACTCAAGTTCTGAATCTGATTAGTTTACGCCACTCAAAACACCACACTACGCACCAGCAATGATGAAACATCACAAACTGTTGCCATATTTATTTAAAAGCATTTAGAATTCAAATCTACAAAATCGCTGAATTCTGACACTGTGTGTGAATAAATGCGGCATATTGTGAGACTAATTCTGACAGCGCTTCGAAATTGTGATTCGTAATTCCGACACCCTGTGTGAGCTGTGTCAGAATATGACACCCTGTGCCATGGCTGTGTGTCATAATTCCAACACTGTGTCAGAATTAGTTTTTATGTGTCTAAAACCGTCTCTTAAATCAATCATCTATCAATTTATTTTCCGCTTAAAATCAGCAAATACAAGTATACTTAAAGGATTCCTTATATAATCACAGTTTTATTTAAAAGTCTCAAACCATAATATTCTTTCTACACAAACAGTTTATAATTTTTTAGTAAAGCAAGGTCAACTATCAACTTTTATTCGTGTTTTGATGTTCTTACTAGTTGACTTGGACTTTCGCTCTGCGGATCTTAACATTTTTCTGCTAAACCTAGTGTTTTGCCGTAATCTGGCGGGCAATAGTATAATGTCACTATCTCAACCATCTATGCATGCATGGAACTAAGACCAAGCTTAATATAAAGGAAAAAGTTGAGGGGGTGTCAGAATTACCCACAGTGTCAGAATATGGTGCGTTTACCCTACCTACTGCAAGTCTGCAATTGAATGAAAAGAGACTCAAGAGAGCCACAATATTTCAGAAAAAGGTAGGACTTTTCCCAGCTAGTGGGTGGTTTCTGCCCAGTTTTTACCTTTGTGCAGTAATCATAGTTTACCCTACACCTTCAGTGGACATGTGCAAAAACTTTCCATATTGGTAACCACTAACCTGTACAGTCAGTTTTGTTTTGGTTGAATTTCATAGTTTTGTATTATATACAACCATTGTCACCAACTTACCATTACACATGCAACCCACAAAATTGCTGTTTGGTTAAACAGATGATGCAAAGATGATGGTTCAGTCAGTTGTGCTAAATGTTATTTTTTATCTTCCAGATTGCTATAATGATTAACAAGTAGGAATTTTACTATCTTAAATTACAGATATTGTTTTTTTCTTGTCCTAATTTAATTAATTAATTTTCCTATCTTACATTTTCTTGCAATAAAGAAAGTTGTAGACTTCTTCCTAACACAGACTACATCAAGCTCACAACCACGACTCTAAGCCGACATCTCACCTGCCACCTTCAGTCCGGAGGACCAAGGAATCACTTGAAGGAGGCGTTGAACGAGACCACAACTTGCCCGATATTGGAATAATGAACCAGTATCATTATGCGATGCCCTGATGGGCCGATGCTATACGACTGGCAATAGCTGAGGCCCTCATCATTGAGGAGAGGACTCCAGCTATCAACCTTCAAACCACTGACTTTGTCAGAACTTTAAGATTGTTTTCTGATTAGTTTTTTGCCCTTGTAAAATCTTCCTGTAGTATCACATTAATGAAATTTTAGCATTATTTGAATTGTATCCAATTTACTTGATTTTGTAGAATGTCAATCCAAATTTTGTTACTCAATGCGTCTTTAACTTGAAAATGAATGTTGCACATTTGAAATGTCGTTCAATATTAAAAATGTCTAATGGTAATTTAATTTTCAATCTTCCAACACCTACGAAGAATTTAGTAGGACTTGTTGAAAAAACTAACAAGAAGCTAATAAATAAAACTAATTCTCTGGTCTCTAACAAAACTTGCTTAAGAGAAGAAATTTTGCTAGCCTACACTAATTATAGATAGTATATGTACAGCTTATCTTGTTAAGGGGAGCACCTACCCTAAAATTGCAAATTTTGACTTTTTTGGTTTTCATACTCATCTTAAAGCTTACATTCTGACGCATCTTATGGTACCAAATCCATCTTTGTACTTTGATTTATGCGTTTATGACAGATCGCAAAAGAGTTAGGGGTGGTGGTGTTCTTTAACATTTAAGATAGGCCGAAATTACTGGTAGCACACTTGAATAGCTAGTCTGAACATGCTGTGCTTCAGTTATCCGCCTGCAGTCATATGGGATGGTTCTTGTGCGGTTGTGCCGTCGTTCGCACCATCCTTGACAGAAATTGAGCTCCAGTATCGTCTAGTCTTGCAACCTTGCACCCTTGAATGTCTATTTCGAGGCACGCGCGACTTTGTCGGGCCCTACTGAAAAGTTAACTTATTGCCACTGCAAACCTATCTCCTCCTACAGTTTTGAAGCTACAACAATGAGACATATATTATTCGATTTGCAAATAAAAGATCTACAAAGTTATGTAGGCTTTTTTTCTTATTTCTTTATAGTTTGGATTATATTTAGTAAAAAGTGGAAATTTCCAAACAATTTACAAAAAATGGCCCCCCATCTATAAAAATTGGAATTCAAAAAAATGCCTGGACAGTTTCGTAGATATGGTCCTTACGCATCAAATGATATGTGTGATAATGTGTCTTGATGTCGTAGCTTGAAAATCCTAGGAGATAGATTTCTATGGTACTCCCTTTTATGCCATTTTCTAAGAATTTTATGTTTTCTTTAATTTATTTCAAAAAATTCACATGAACACTTGCAACCTTGCAGCCTTGAATGACTATTTCGAGGCGCGCCCAACTTGGGCTCTACTGAAAAGTTAACTTATTGCCACTGCAAACCTATCTCCTACAGTTTTGAAGCTACAACAATGAGACATATATTATTCGATTTGCAAATAAAAGATCTACAAAGTTGTGTAGGCTTTTTTCTAATTTCTTTATAGTTTGGATTATATTTAGTAAAAAGTGGAAATTTCCAAACAATTTACAAAAAATGGCCCCCCATCCACAAAAATTGGAATTTAAAAAAATGCCTGGACAGTTTCGTAGATATGGTCCTTGTGCATCAAATGATATGTGTGATAATGTGTCTTGATGTCGTAGCTTCAAAATCCTAGGAGATAGATTTCTATGGTACTCCCTTTTATGCCATTTTCTAAGAATTTTATGTTTTCTTTAATTTATTTCAAAAAATTCACATGACAAAAAGCTTTTTTTGTTATTTTACATGAGTGTACCAAGTTTCAGAGTGATCTGTATGTAAATAGCCAAGATAAATTTTAGGGTAGATGCTCCCCTTAAAACTAATGTTGGTAAAGAAACTTAGTGTAACATGACTTGCCAAATCAGCCTTTGTATTAGTATAAAATTTGAATGCAATTAATTTTTTAAGTACTTCATATGCTTTGATCACTTTTCTTGGTGAAACAGTTTCTTCCAGAAGTATTCTCATTGTATGAAGTTGTTTTCCTATTTCCAACAATTGTAATCATCAATTTTACACATTGAATTATTACAGGCCCTTGAAGTGAAAGAGATTTTATTCCACATCTAAACTAGAAAAGAAAATAGAGGTGATTTGGTACCTTAACATATTTCCTGACTAAATTGAGCAAAGATGGCAGATACTATTCTGCTCCTTCCGCAAGATGATGGATCTGGGGAGAAGGGCAGCATCACCAATGACTTCATGTACAACAACAATGTTGCCAACAGCCACGTTTATATCCGTATGGGTGAGTGAGTTTCTTCTTCTTTGAGCTTTCTTTGTTTTGTTCTATCTTCAAGAGAATATCCAGACCTGTCAAGTGTTGGATATTTACAATTGCAATTTAAATAACAGTTTATTGTAACCTTGAATATGTGAGACTTTCTCTTACTTACTTTATGTTTACTTGCACTCATGCAATTCATAAATCTTCATAGTTGTTTATTTCTGATTAACAAAAAATTTGTTACACATTGTTATGCAATGTAGATTATTTTTTTATTACCCTAACTTTAAAAAATGTCTTTGTTAGTGTTTTTGATTCTCAATTCTCATTGATATTTTGTTTTTGATCAGGTTTCCTGCGTAAGGTGTATGGACTGTTGAGTGTACAGCTGCTAGTCACTGCTGTAGTAGCAGGTGTGTGTGCGTACACGCCTGTGGTGCGTGACACCATACACACAAACCCATGGCTGCTCATCATGTGCCTGCCAGCCGCATTTGGCCTGTTAATTGCTTTGCATGTTAAGAGGTGAGTTCTCTATTCATTTGAATTTCCAGTTCATTTTGAATTTCCAGTTCATTTTGAATTTCCAGTTCATTTTGAATTTCCAGTTCATTTGAGTTCCCAATTCATTTGAATTTCCAAATCATTTTGAATTTCCAGTTCATTTTGAATTTCCAAATCATTTTGAATTTCCAAATCATTTTGAATTTCCAGTTCATTTTGAATTTCCAAACCATTTTGAGTTCCCAATTCATTTGAATTTCCAAATCATTTTGAATTTCCAATTCATGTTTAATTTCCAAACCATTTTGACTTTCCAATTCATTTGAATTTCCAAATTTTTGTAATTTCCATTTCATTTCCCAATATAGTAGTAGCTTGGGGCTGATTTTTTGAAGCGTCTTCCATCAAACACTGAAATAATTACTAAATATCTGTGTGTTGACCAACAAGATCAATTTTCTGATCAGTATTCTACCTTGCCTACTGTGAGATTTTAGTATAGAAAGTGGTGGTATTTGTAGTATGAAAAGTAATTGCTAGAATGAAGGATGATGCAAATTGTTGTTTAAATGTGCTAATGTATGTCACCCATTTTCTTTCAATCAAAATTTACCTTTGTTTGGCAACTTTTTGCTTAAGGAAGCATTTCATTTTAACCTTACAAAACACAACAATATTGATATTATTTGCAAGATAGTGTTCCAGAGAGGTGATAAATCTTTAATGCCTTTATCATTTGTTTAGATTGTGAGAAATATTGATTGAAAAAGCAAGCTTTGAATACATTCAAATGTTTATTGTATTGCCTCAAAAATTTTCTTATTTATTGCATGTTTGGAGCAAGGGCAGATGTCCCCCATTTGTTTTGACAATTTAGTTCCAAAAGTATCAATTTTAAGTAGTTATTTGTTGCAAACAATGACAGGCATGTGGTGCCCATGAACCTGAAAAGGCTGATGTCCCCCATTTGTTTTGACAATTTAGTTCCAAAAGTATCTATTTCAAATAGTTATTCGTTACAAACAATGACAGACACGTGGTGCCCATGAACCTGATCCTGCTGGCGGCGTTCACGGTGGTGGAGGCTGTGACGGTGGGCACGGTGGTGTCTCTGTACGAGGTGGCGTCTGTGGTGCAGGCTCTAGTGCTCACTCTCCTCATCACCTTCGGCCTCACCGCATACACCTTCCAGACCAAGAGGGACTTTACCAACATGGGTGTTGGGTGCGTACTTTGGTCCTGTATGACGAAAATGTGTCTGATTTTCTCATGAATTGTCTTCTGATTTAATCATTCCCAGTTCAAGATTAACATTGTAATTGGTATTGATTGCATCATGCAAGGAAGAAACCATATGAAACTTGCATGGTTAAAGAACCTATACTTGTCTACTGTATTTTAGGAAAGGTGTTTCAGGAAAGGTGTTTATCCTATAATTGTGATAGTTGGAAAATATTTTATCTTATTCTTTCTAAATTTTAGATACTCTAGATAATAATTCTACAAGTTATATTTACTGTGTTTATTTGTTCCAGGCTGTTCATCGGCTTACTATGCCTACTGGGCGTGGGTGTTCTGAACCTGTTCCTTGGCAGCACTGGGCTGGACCTTATCATTGCTGGTGCTGGTGCTCTCGTCTTCTCTCTCTTCATTGTCTTCGATACTCAGGCGAGTGCACTTTGTGCGGCGTGCTTTATAAAGCCCAAAGTTTGTTTAGTATATAACTATAAGTGGATAATTGTCTTGCTGGTTCTGGTGCGCTCGTTTTCTCTCTCTTCATTGTCTTTGATACTCAGGCGAGTGCACTTTGTGTGGCATGCTTTATAAAGCCCGAAGTTTGTTTAGTATATAAGTGGATAATTGTCTGTGACATTCGGTATGAACGTCTAATATTGGAAGCTAATTTAACTGATTAGCTTGTTAGTGATTTGTCTATAATTTTTAATAGTCCTGAATGTATTAAAAATTTTTTGGTGATGCTCCTGCCCTAGCTTCTATTACGGTAGTCAGGAATCGGATTGAAACAAGCAATAAATTATGTTTATTCGTCCTGTGTGTTCTTTGCTTCATAAGATATTATGAGCTCAAATGAAACAACATGTGGGCTAAAAAATGATAGAAATCAAGTTTGACCTCGGTATACGTTTGTAATTCTCCAATGTATTCAACTTAGGAATATTCAATAAAAGTATTTTTGATACTAACGCAAATAAGTCCTGATCTTTGAGCGATCTCAGACATTTCTACCATTTTTTACACTAATTTAGATTTTATTTGCAGATGATGATGACGAAACTGTCCCCTGAAGAGTACATCCTTGCGACCATTAACCTTTACTTGGATATCATCAACCTCTTCCTCGAGTTGCTGCGTCTGCTTGGCGACAGGAGGAACTGAGCAGATCGTTTTTCATGAACTTGTAAAGCTGTAACCGTGGCTCCTGCTACTGTAACTGAAGCTCTGCTACAGTAACTGAGGCTCTGCTACTGTAACTGAGGCTCTGCTACTGTAACTGAAGCTCTGCTTCTGTAACTGAAGCTCTGCTACTGTAACTGAAGCTCTGCTACTGTAACTGAAGCTCCACTGCTGTAACCATAGCTCCTGCTTCTGTATCTGAAGCTCTGCTGCTGTAAATGAAGCACTGCTACTGTAACTGAAGTTCTGCTACTGTAACTGAAGCTCTGCTACTGTACTGAAGTTCTGCTACTGTAACTGAAGCTCTGCTACTGTACTGAAGCTCTGCTACTGTAACTGTCGTTTATTTACCTGTTGAATCAATTAAGTTCTACAGATATGTGACTATAAATTCTGCTACTGCGATGTGTGAGTTCTGTTATTTTGTTTAATCTTTCTAAATTATTACTGTACTCTTTCGAGGTGCTGTATTGCCATTTATTCTTCAGTGTCGTTTATTCCAAATGGTGCACTAAATCGTAACTCTCACGTGTGTTCCTCAGCGCACTGGCAGAATGTTCCATTCCTATGGTTGTAGCAACGTTTGTTTTACATTTTCACGTCCTGATGTGATTCATGTCTAGTTTATAGCGATCTTTAAGCTCGTTCTGATTACTTTGATCTAAATTTGTTTCACATTGATCGTTCGCGTGATTCTATTCCACGTTATTTGCGTGATGTGAATTTGTTTCTCTAATCATGTAATGAGCTTCAGTTTTATTATAATGTTATCGCCTTGAAATGTGAATAATCCCAGAGCTACCGGTTATCTTATGTCTGGAAGTTCACTTTGTGCGTTCTCTGCTATAATTAATTTTATCATTTCTTTGCTTACTTAAATGCGTTAGATTTACTCATAATTCTCGCACAAACCCAATTAAGTTCCACTCTTCTACTCAAAATATACTTCGTTACGTATTGTCCATTTGCAATAATTTTGTTTGTATACACGCTGGGTTGACCAACTTGTTGCATGGCTTACTTCCAGCATAAATGCTAATGTAGAACAGCTTTGAACGGTCATATCAACATTGATATTTAGTCGACATTTCTATCGCCTTGCTGCTATATTTTTTAGAATGCAATCAGTTTCTGTTTTACGTATTCCTGCCAATGATGATCTTGCAGACCTCAAAAATTTTGAAACTGATATTAGTATTTACGACAAATCTTGATTCCCTGCTCTATATATGGCTTAATAAATGAACTGATGACCATATTATCAGATTATTCTGTAGGGCCACACTAAATATTTAAAATGTTAGCTAATCGGAATATATTCTCCACTAAGTCTGTAATATAATACTAACGCCCACGTCTGTAACTTTAAAATTGGCTGATTTATTTCATGGTGGTTTAATGTTTTGATACATTTTTAAATCGTTCACGGAAAACAATCTAGTTTTCAAATATTTTTTTACAACGATTTTATTTTAAGAGTTTCAGTTTTTTTAGTACATCTTCGTTTCTTCACTACAAGTGGACTCGGTTACTCTTTATTGCTATCATTTGGTTATGTGGTTCTCTTGCTTTAGCTGTGTGAATTCTTAATTTTTTTACTCTTTTAGAGGAATTTTGGTTACGATTCGCTCGGTTGGGTCGGCACTGGAAGTAAACCATATTCTCTTATTCGAGTCTTTCGATGTACCTTTCTAATGTTGTATTTTATTCAAATATATATCTATGGAACGGGCTTATTATTACACCTCTCCTGGTAAGGCATGGAGACACAATTGTTAGGGTCTGCTTACGTATTGCATGGTGAGTGAATAATTTAGGTAAATAATCGGGTATTTGAGGTCATAAAATACGGATATAGTTCAACCAGGAAAGTTATGCCGGCACTGAAACCCTACAAATTTTTCTGCACTGGCTGGTATGTCGTTGAAGAGCGGATAATTAATGTAGTATTGTCCTCTGATTCGCAGATGAGACTGCAGTGGCTTGTAATTGAACTATTGTCTACCAGCATTTTGGCGGGGTTTGACCTGATTGGAAATTTCAAAAATTAGGTTAGAGCATTGTTTCAACCATGGTTCCAACGACCAACGATACGTCTCGGATTTTTTTTACGTTTTGTTTACATTTATAAGTTCCGTTTTCGTAAATATTGATGAAATGAATACATTTTCAATTCAATTATAATAGCCTAGACCAAATCAGTATTCGACTAAAACTTCGCTCAACCTTTCAAAGTTTCCGTATAGGCCGACCACGTTGTTTTTCCGTGGCCGTATAAAATCCGAGTCTGGCGCTGACCTGTCTAGCAGACTAGCACTCTAGCAGTACGTGCGTAGATCTGGTGCGGTGTGGTTATGACGCTCATCTATCAGCTGACACTCGCTGGTCAGACATTTGGTTCTGGATCTTTGGAGATGATGAAACAATGACTGTCATTTTTACTATAATGTTTAGGCCATATGAATTTTTTGCTAATGATGCGCAATAAATTTGATATATGTATTTATATAGGTATAAATTAAAATTTCAGCACGTAGCTTACCTACACGTTAAACTGCTAACTCCGTATTCAGTAACTGGCATTAAAACCCGAGGTAGATTTTTCATCCCCTAAAAATACAGAAAAACGTGTTTGACGTGCCCATTTATAATTAATGAATAATAAAATTGCTACTAATTCCTCCAAGTTACGTTTTACTGACGTCTGACGATTACGTTTATCGTCGCCACAGCACTTTCGTCGTCTGTCTTCAATAGACACGTTCTCCGATGTAAACAATAAGATACTGAACCGCGAGTTACTAGCGAGATCTAAGCAGATTCGTGCTTTATTGTGGTAATTCTATCCTACTAATCGGCTCCTCCCTACTTACTAGTTTTTTCTTGCGTTTTTCAGTGACGAAGAGCGAGGTAAGTGCAGTACCTGCTTCCATTCCATTCCAAATATGGAAGCAGATACTGCTAATATGGTTTTTACTTCTAAAATAATGCATTTTTCTTTCATTTTATAATCTAAATTTAAAAAGCCTTCAAATTATTACTTCGTTTTTTCTTTTATAAATGTGAAAAATTATACAAATTTGTTGATGTGGCTATAAATTTGTTGAAAGTATTCAATCGTGAGTATTATTGGAATTTCGTATATTGTACAACCGGGAACAGTCTCGAAAAAGGTTATTTTTTCAGAGAGGCTTCGCATTTTATACGAATTCAGAAATTTTGCATTCTTTTTAGTAGGGATGATTTATTTTCTCCTATTTATTCGTTCTAACTTTACAAGATCACATTTACATTTAGTAGATAGTTTGTTTTTCGTGGTTGTTGGTAAAAGTATATCGACCCCTGTGGCGACTATAGACGCTACAGAGTTCCGTGTTGAGATTCCTTGCTTAAGTAAGCAAAGCAGCATGATTTTATCTGCGTGTCTTAAAACAAGATTTTGCTGCGACTAAACTTTTGTTGAAGTTTTCTTGTCTCTACGTTGGGTGGCAACTGAAACTATTTGTATCTCGAGCTAGTTGTAGTAATAAACGTAAAATATTATTGTGCAAGTTACTGAGTTCTTTTGATTGCACTTCATTCCAAGTTCAATAGTTTTTTAAGTTTATGCAGCATGACGTATAAAAGTAAGGCGTCTAAGTAATGTGCGTGTGTATTATTCATTAAAAGTAAAGCATGACGTGAGTTTATACGTTAAAATCGGACTCTTCGTCATGAAACTTCACTTTAGTGACATGCGTGTGTTGTTGAATTATTTACAAGGTCTTTGACCGCCCTGGGTTTAAAAATCAAATTTACTCTACTGCAAGCTTGTCCAAATTTGAGCAGCTTACCCCCGCAGCACCAGGAAGCAAATTCTTAAACGAATGGGGTTATAAATAATGAATTAGTCGCGTTGAAGAAAATTCATCATTAATTTAAACCATGTATATTAAATTACTTTGTATTTCAGTACAAAGTATAACATATACTCGTCTTTCGATCGGGACTGTGATGTTGCAGAGATCTTGCGCTCGTTCTCTTGCGAGGTTCCATTTTACGAGGCCTAAAAATGAGCCTCTAGAGCGGCCACATTGGGCCGTGATCTGCGACTCTAAACTTCTCACATGGCGCGCGGCATTCGTCATCAACGTTGCTTGATGCGAGACATGGCGATCAAGCTCGGGGGTAATGTGGCAGCCGGGGCAATGTGTCCTATCTTGAACACAGGAATCTTCTTTGCTTGGTTTTGACGAACAATTGTTTCCGCTGAGCTGCTTTTATTGCGATTCTTGGAAAGTTAAATGCCGCGGAAACATTGGTTGAATTTTTCAGTTGTACAGGAGTTCGAGTGCATTCAGTTGTCTCTACGGAGCTTTTGCACGTTTTCTTCGTCACTTTATCGCTTTAAATGAAATATGTGATGCCTATTCCGCTCAGTGCTGCAATTATTGATGCATTTTTGTGATTGTGAACTTATCGAAAGGATTAATATATCCTTGATTTGTAATTCGAGACCACATTTATGCATGGATATTATTAGTCCATGCATCGGCGACCTTACGAATATTATTCGAAAGTTTCACGATATTAGTGAAAGTTTACCTTACGAATATTGCTCGTAATTCACATATTATTCGTGAAAGCTTGAAGTAATCGGAGAGGCTACACTCAGAAAAAGTGTGTTAGATTTTTGTCAACTTGCGACGCACTTTTGCCCTCATGTGCGTTATCCTAACGCAGTTGGGCCACGCATGCAGAGCATATTAATGCAAAAGGTCCGCTCTCTGCTCATGCTGTAGGCAAGAAAGTGTGTTATTTTTGACAAAATAACACACTTATTTTCCAGTTTCCCGTAGATCATCATTGCGTGTGTTGCGTGATGGCTGCTACACGCAATTGTTGCAAGTACAGTCACGACTTGCGATAAAGAAATATTATTACAGTCACGACTTGTGATAAAGAAATATTATTTCAGTCACGACTTGCCATTAAGAAATATTGTTACAGTCACGACTTGCGATAAAGAAATATTATTACAGTCACGACTTGCCATTAAGAAATATTATTACAGTCACGACTTGCGATAAAGAAATATTGTTACAGTCACGACTTGTGATAAAGAAATATTATTACAGTCACGACTTGCGATAAATAATTATTTGGTAGACTGCGAACGGACTTATTTCAACTCGTGCTAAAAGTTTCATAGTAAATTGCTCGTCTTGGCATGTGTATTCTTGATCAGGTATTTCTGTGTAAAATGTTTAATTTACACCGGAAAGTTACCTTGATGTATCTTAAAATGGCGTTTGTTCTGCGACATCAGAAGTAGCAATTGTTCATTTTTGTGTTGCTTATAGCAAGTCAAAGCTTTAAGCGACATTTACTTTACTTCATTATTTCATATACTTTTGATTTATAAACACTTGAAGACTTTATATATTGCCTATAATCGCCTGATACCTTGTAGACTATTGGACTCCCTCAAACTTCATAATATTAGCTTTGTTCTCAACTGCGAGACGTAAAAGTTTAAGTTTAAGTTTAAAAGCGCTAAGTTTAAATCACTTTCGTTTCTGAGCCGCCAACGAAAGGAACTTTAAATTGATCAGCGCTCGAGATTTGTTGATCTATATTTTTTGTGGAAATTCTCAAACACTTTTTTTTTTGCGGTGGCTAAATTAATCCAAAGACGGCGTCCATGTCATTGAGAATAACTTTATTTCCGTAAAGAGTATCCATTAATAATTGCGCTCTAGGCTTGGTAACGCAAATGAGGCAATACATTTTTATCGTGGGAGTATCTGCGGAGGATGTGAACCGAAATTAATCTGGTATAAAGAAGAAGTGAAGTCGTTTGAATATTTCTGATGCATTTTAATGACACGTATCCTGTGATACGTGGTACCTATCCTATGACTGCTGAAGGTTATAAAGTTGCTGAAGATTTACCTTATTTAATTTCAGAGGCCCGTAGGATTCAATTTCAATATCTGTTTTTACCATGAATTTTCGTACTCCATTTTTCTTCTTGAAAAATATACATCCGGCCTATGATACATCACCATGATACACATCCTGCAGTCAAGATATTCCATCTTCAAGAATTATATTCTATGAACGTGCTGATATTGTAAAAACTATTCGGCTCCTTTCAACATTGGCTTACAATGCTCTTCGATCGGCTAAAGCAAAAAAAAAGTCTAATAGAAATCCTCGAAAAATTACAGTGCGAATTCACGTTCGTTTAGTCGTTCGCGCCTCCTGGTCAGTAGGATGGTTTCGATGGTTCATCGTCGGCCGATGGTTCATCGATGGCCGATGATACATCGACGGCCGATGAAACATCGATGACCGATGATACATCGACGGCCGATGAACGATGATTCATCGACGGCCGATGATTCATCGACGGCCGATGATACATCGACGGCCGATGATACATCGACGGCCGATGATTCATCGACGGCCGATGGTCGTCCATCGAATGGCCAGTCATAAAACAGGTTTTTTATTATGATTGCGCTGGCAGGTCGCGAGTATTCGCTCTGTCTTGCCACTGCAATAAATCAATCGCAACGAGCGGGGCACGCGGAAAACAAAAAATACGAGCCCAGGCTCAAAATCCTTTATTCGTTTCAGTTCATACCGGGAAATTCAGGCTGGAAATTGAAGCAAAATTTACAGCCTGACCTTCTATTGCATCCATAACGCCGCCTGCGTTGCGTGTCTCTGGAAGCGGCGAG